ATCAGTGAATTTTATTTCATAGTTATTGCATTTATAGACCCGAAATACATCTTGAACGTTTGTGCACAAAACTTCGTGTAGTCTGATGCGTATCATAACCGTATGATATTAATGTATATTAGAGAATGGTAAATCTGATTATTATATTTATTTTGGAAAAGATAATAAGAAATTTAGTTTGTTTTGGCGCTACTCAGCAATAATACCAGCCAAATTTCAATACATGTTCAGGCTAGGATTATATCATTATTACACCTGAATAAATAATGGTCAGTCGTTAACTCCGATATACAAATCCAAATAATATCAGTACGCCTCGTATAAATGACGTTCCTTTCCTTCCTTTCTACCTTCCTACCTACTTATCTACATTCACACACATACCCACGTAACTCTCCCCAATATATATATATATATATATATATATATATATATATATATATATATATATATATATATATATATATGATACAGGGTATCATAGCTCTTATCGCCCATATTCATGCAGAACTCAGGGCGTTTGCTTTCACATAATTACTCTTTGAGTAATGAATGCATTTGTTTTCATACAACCAGGTGCAAAAAGCAGGGTAGGCTGGCCTCTCTAGATTTGTTTGGCAACTAATCTAGAAGAATGAAAATACACTTTAGTGGGAGGTCAGCAAATGAAAATTTTATAAAAGCTACTTACTAAACAACATCTAGCATAGTGGTTCCGTGGCCGTATACTACACTGCTATTCTATCTATCTATCTATCTATCTATCTATCTATCTATCTATCTATTTATTTATCTATCTATCTATCTATCTATCTATCTATCTATTTCATCCCTCTCCTTCGCTCTCTTCCTCTGCCCCCTCGCTCTCTCTTTATATATATATATATATATATATATATATATATATATATATATATATATATATATATATATATATATTGAATGACCCTTCAAGTTTCAACGTCTTGGTTCCATTGACACTCATGATTCTACATTGACTTCTGAAATTCGATTTCAGAAACGTCTTGTCAAATGGGTAAAAAGTGGTGTTCTTTCTTCTAAAATGGCGGAGGAATTGAGACCGTCTGGTTCTATTCGTCCCCGTCTATATGGATTACCTAAGATTCATAAGGAGGGTGTCCCGTTGAGACCCATATTATCGATGATTGGGTCTTCACAGCATAAAGTCGCAAAGTGGCTTGCTATAATGTTGCAACCAGTATTGCAACATTACAGTTCCTTTTGTATTAAAGATTCATTTTCTTTTCCAAATTCATTCGGAATTGTGATGCCACTAATGGATTTATGTGTTCCTTTGACATCTGTAGCCTCTTCACTTGTGTTCCTTTATCGGAGACGATTGATATTTGTAGCGATATGTTATATCGTAGCGATTTGACTCCTCCGAATATACCTGAAGAAGTGTTCGTTGAACTCATGAAATTTGCCACTATGTTTGTCGATTTTAGTTTCGACAATATTATGTATCGTCAGATTGACGGGGTAGCGATGGGTTCCCCTTTGGGTCCTGTGTTGGCAAATATTTTTGTAGGGTTTTATGAAGAAAGCCTTTTAAGTTCTGCCAGACCCAAGGTATACTTTCGGTATGTTGATGACACTTTCTGTGTGTTCAGCCATGAATCGGAAGTGGATCAATTTTTTTCCCTACTCAATGGTGTTCATCCTGCCCTTAAATTTACAGTAGATAAGGAGGCCAATGGTTCATTGCCCTTTTTAGATGTTCTTGTTCAAAGAACTCCTTCCTTGTTTATTACCTCTGTGTACAGGAAGTCTACTTTTACAGGACTATATACCCGTTGGGACTCCTTTTGTCCTAAACAACAAAAGATTAATTTGATTAGGACCCTGACACATAGGGCATTAATGATCTGTTCGGATGACACCTTGAAACATGAAATCAGTTGTTTAACTGAGATCTTTGTGAACAATGGCTATCCGTTGAACATTGTTCAATCGGTTATTCGAGATGAGACCGCCAGGTTCAACAAAATCAAACCTGCTTCAGTAGGTAAATGTCCGGTCTATCTTCGTTTACCGTGGTTGGGTAAGATTAGTGAATCCTTCGCTAAGCGTATTTCATGTAGTTCACGTGAGTGTTATTTTGCAGCGAACATTCGTGTTGTCTTTCAAACTAAGTCCATACTTTCATCTATGTGTAAAGATGTTCTACCCCTCCACCATATTAACTCTGTTATTTACTATTTCAAATGTAGTTGTGGATGCGACTACATAGGTAGAACGACACAGCGGTTGGACGTGAGAATTAAACAACACGTACCTGCGATAATACTAAACAAAAAATTTTCTTTGGGCGATACCATTCGTAACACGTATGGGTCTTCCATTGCGGATCATTTTATAAAGAATCCAACTTGTGCGATGGATTTCAGTGTGGACTGGTTTTCCGTCTTGGCCAGTTCGCACTCACTTTTCCATCTTAAGGTGCTGGAGTCGCTTTACATCAGGTCTAGGCAGCCTT